ATTATTTGATTCTTCTTGCGTGTGTAGAAACTGTACGTCATTTCGAAAAAGGGTCAAGCAGAAATTGCAGCACTAAGACTGAAAGAACCAACATACACCTGACTTGGAGCAATATACTCTGTCATAAAAGTAATTGGATTACGTGCCATGAATCATGAAGGCACAGAACATGTCAGTACACATCATCAAAGTTAAAAAAACAGGGTGTCATGTGTTTTATGAGGAAGTACATTTTACTTCCTTTTGATTGATTGTATAACGTAAAACTGGTTTTGACAGTATGGAAACACCCATCTGAAATGGTCCGGACCTCGACTTAAATGTGTCTGACCACTTGTGTATGTGTTTGTGTGTGTATGTGTGTGTGTGTGTGTGTGTGTGTGTGTGATCTGGAGTGCTTGTGGTGTGTGTGTGTGTTTGTGCTTGGGTGCGAGCGGTTGTGTTCGTTCACACGTGCAACATGAAGCTGACTGTCCCGGATGACTGCGTGCTTCTGTGCTGTGACTGAGTGCTTCTGGTCCTTTGCTGACTCGTGTGGGTTGGTTCTCACCGCCGCCAGTCACGGTCTCCGCTGTTCCTGTCCCTCACTTTCTGTCGCTTTGGCCTGTAGTCTACAGCCTCTGCACCAGGAGCCACACAAGGGCTCTGTTCTCTTTTCATGGGGCTCCTAGTGACGCAGTTCTTCATTAAACAGACAGTAAGAGACAGCAGGGTCATCAATTGCTAAAGCATTGTCACCAAAGGATCGGAGGTCTGTGTCTCTTCATACGGAAAACGCCACGTGTTTAGTCGTCAGTATGGTACCATTCCCAATCCCATAAATTGGGGCTAGATAATTCTAAACAAAAACGTGTGCAGAAAAGAAAAGGGCTGTTTGAATTCTTTGTATATTCTGGCATTTACTTTCACAAAAAAGTGTTGGGGGATTTAGTGTCTGGTCATTTTTATCAAAGATGGAATCATTATTTATTTTATACATTATACATACATTTGTTGTTTTTCTCCCAGCAGAGTAGCAGTTTTATTTAATGTAAGTTGTTCACAAGAACTGACAACCCTCCATTGTTAGACGTATGGCAAAAAAAAAAAAAAAAAAACGCATCTCGACTGGCAACATTTTTACTCTGTGTTTATGCTGGCACAGCCCCAGTTACCGAAAGGGAAGTGCTGCTTTCATGCGGTGCCCTCTGATGACAGCGCTGAAATGCTCGCTCTGCTCTTCCTGGATCTCGGGTGGCGCGGCCGCCCGTCCGACATCATTCCTGTCATACTGGCGCCGAGGTATGCCCGTGGCATCACACTCCGCCAGTTCCCCAGATGCAGCACGCAGGGCACCTCCCTGTAGCTCCTTTCAATAGCCTGCCACCACACCTCAGTGCCAGTCTGACTGGTTGTATTGTCATGAGTAAGAAAAACAAAACAAAAAAACAAAAGTGGTTTATAGAAGCAATGTAAAAATGAAACTTGGGTGTTTCTGCTGAAGGTTTCTCTCCCTCTGAAGGGGCGAGATGCCCCGTGGGGGGCGGGGCCAAAACGGGCGACCCCCGTGCCGGTTTCCTGGGAAGGTGTCCCTCGGAGAGAGGGTGCACGGTGTCGGGCGAAGCCTGGTGAGTAGAGGCAGAAAGGGAGTAGTTACGGGTGGGGCTCGTGTGTAGGGGCCTGTGGAACACTCTGACAGGCAGAACCCATTCGCCTTTCATTCAGTTCCATTCAAAAAATGGATAAAAGGTGAATAAATCATTTTGTTTTTCCAGTAATGGAGCGAATTCGTCCGGTCGCATTCCCGCTCGTTCGCCCCGGGTTCGAGTTTGGTTGACCTCGGAATCCAGAGCACTGCTGTCACCATGGCTGCGTGACTCAGTGTTTTGCCTATCATTTACGGGCAGAATTGCTAAGTGGGCGGGGCCACCGCTGAAGCATTCCTCACACAGACCCATCACAGCGCGGGACGGCTGAGCTTGGGTTGCATTAGGCAAAAGCAGCCAGCAGCGAGGGAGCTAGCGGGCTGGATACAGAGAGGGGCATGGCAGACCACAGGGAGTGAGGTCACTCCTACTGCCCGCATGTCGTCTTCACTTTGTGCTCAGTCACGTCTTCGCAGCTGCTGCTGCTGTTGGTCGGGACGCAGATACGTCTTCCATTGTCTGGCTTCTGTCTGGAGCCTGCTCTTATGAAACCGACGGTGGAAAGCATACATTACGTTATTGCTCCTGTGTCTCCCTTCTGCTTACAGTTTTCCTTTTATTTGAATATAATCAACCAAATACATAAGAGCGGCGTTATCTCGTTATGTAACCAAATGGTTTGGTGAACCTACAATTGAGCTACAGCTACTGTCTGTTAAGAGGCAATGGAATGTCATATGTTGTTGTATTGTTTGCTGCCACATTTTTCCAAGGATATTGTTTTTTGTTTTGGTATTTTAAGGACAGGACATTTTTTTCAATAAGAATAATTAAAATTCTTATGAGTGCATTTCTTCATTGACTCATTGTTTTATTGGCTGATAAAAAAATAGTCAGCCAGCTAGCTAACGTCACCCTCAGAATGTTACCTAGCTAATCATTAAAATGCCATATGCCTGGCTGGCTGGCATGGGATCATCTGTATCATGTTGTAAACATTCTCACAAAGCACGAGGTACTGGGCCTTGGAACGACTGGAGCCGTGTACAGCTGGCTAGTAATGCCACTGTTCACCATATAACTCGGCAATTAGTAGCTTATCAATTTGTCAGCACCAGTATGGGAAAGCATATAAACACACCACTGTGCCAACATAAACAAACCACCACAACAACCTACTGTGCCAAAACTCTGAGTGTAATGTTAAGTAAATCTGCATCTAATCGCTTAACGCATGTAATACCGTGTATACTCACTATGATATTTGTTGAATATGATGGTTTTATTTAAGACCTGGTGAAATTGTTGGAGGCTAATCCCCTGAAGTATTAAACTTTTTTGAAGCGAGACAGGGAGCACTGCATCTCACTGCCTTTGTGTGCTCTTTCTTTCTCCATCTCTCTTTGGTGTATTAATGTCTTGCGCCCACGGGTTGAGCCGTGTGCTGGGCACAGGTCGATGGGTGTTCTTACTGTGGGCTTTTCACCCCTGCAGAACCACTAAGAGGGCGCAGACGTTCTACGACGGGAGCCCCACCAGCCCCCCGGGGGTGTGCCACATCCCCATGGCCGAGCCCTTCTGCGGCAGGACCAGAGAGGTCAGTGACACTGCACACTGCATGCCTGGCTGGAGGAGTGCAGCAGGTCGGTCAGTATTACTGTTCTGTCCTGTTGCCATGTTGCCAGTTGCACAAAAGCTGTAGTTTTTGCTATGAAATGCAAAGGACAACAGAAGAAGGTATAATAATATAAATTTAAGGTTGCTTTTGTAATTGCAACAAGATCTGTACGATGTAAAAAACAGTAATCCCCTTCAAAAACAAAAAAAAAAGAGGCAGGGAATAAAGCAGCATCCCCTCACTGTGGGACACTCACTCTATCTTCACTGTGGGACACTAGCTGTACCCTCACTGTGGGACACTAGCTGTACCCTCTCTGTGGGACACTCACTCCACCCTCACTGTGGCACAGGTCCTGCTGGAGGTGGCGCGGAGCCTGGGGGTGAAGTGCCACACGAGGGGCACCATGATGACCATCGAGGGCCCCCGCTTCTCCTCCAGGTCCGAGAGCCTCATGTTCCGGCAGTGGGGCGCCGATGTCATCAACATGACCACCGTGCCGGAGGTGGTGCTGGCCAAGGAGGCCGGCCTGTGCTACGCCAGCATCGCCATGGCAACCGACTACGACTGCTGGAAGGAGCATGAGGAGGCGGTGAGTGGGATGCAGGGGGGGGGACCGGGGGGGGGGGATGGGGGAGTGCTTGAGAATGAGGGATCTGCTGCCTCCTGCTCTTACATCCTGTGGTAGAATTTAATCTTGCAAACCCGCCGGCTGTGCCGTTGCGAAATATCATTCTTTATACCTGCTGCCACCTCCAATTTCCCTTTCTTTACCCTCCGCTACTCTCAGATTAACCGTGATTAATTTTACAACAAAGGGATACAGAGGAAATGAAATATTACCCAGCAGATATTACATTACATTCATTTAGCAGACGCTCTTATCCAGAGCAACTTCCAGCACAAAAGAACAGAAGTGTATCCATTCAAGTTAAATGAGCAACAGTCTTAGACCAGGCCAACAGCACTCCCAGACCAGTGAGTGAGAGCATTCTCTATTCAGGTAGCCTAGCATTTTTGCAATCTGTTGAATTTGTTCTCGCATAGTTTGTGCGTGAGCATGTGTGTGGACAGCGGCAATGTTACACACTTGAATCCAGAATATTCCGGTAAAATGACACATGTAGTGTGTAAGGAGAGGAAGTAAGGAGATGAAATGGGCGGCAGTGTAGCACAGTGGTTAAGGAGCAGGACTAGTGACCCACAATTGCCTCCATCTGTATAAATGGATAACATTGTAAAAAAAAAAAAAAAAAAAGTGTAGCCTATGTAAGTCGCTCTGGATAAGAGCGTCTGCTAAATGCCAATAATGTCGTGTAATGAAATGGGCCGGGGAGCGGGGGCGGGTGTGTTTGGGGCACAAGTGGGGGAGGGAAACGAGAGAGACCGCGGGAGGCCAGAGAGGGCAGTGGGTGAGGAGCCGGATCCCTTCACGTGCTCGGCTGGGTGGAGCGCCCTGGGACGGGGCTCAAAGCCGCTCATGTAACGGGCTTTTTCCAGGAGCGGTGACTGATGCCGTGACTCAGCACGCTGGGGTGCCCTCTGATCCCCCTCCGGCTCTATCGCCTCAGCTCCGGCTGCGGGGAGACATCGCATTACATTACATGACATTACATGACATTACATGACATGACATTACACTGCAGTCTTTTAGCAGATGCTCTTATCCAGCACGAGTTCCATATGTTACTGTTTTTAAATGTTATTTGTTTATATGGCTGGATACTTACTGAAGCTTTTCTGGGTACACTGGGGGTGGCAATGTAGCATAGTGGTAAGGTGCAGGGCTTGTAACCACAAGGTTGCGGGTTTGATTCCCCGCTGGGGCACTGCTGCTGTACCCTTGGGCAAGGTACTTAACCCACAATTTCCTCAGTAAATGTCCAGCTGTAGAAATGGATAACATGTAAGAATTATAACATATGTGAGTCGCTCTGGATAAAAGCATCTGCTAAAAGACAATAATGTAATGTAACGGCTTAAGTACCTTTCCCAAGGGTATAGCAGCAGTGCCCCAGCAGGGAATTGAGCCAGCAACCTTAGGGCTACGACCCTTGCTCCCTACTACTTTGCTAAACTTCCGTCCAGGTCAGGATGCCAGAGTGAGCTCCTCAGAAGCCTGAGTCCTCCCCATTTTCCTGTAATATTATTCTCTTTCTCCTGTTATGCAAGTTTCTGATTTTCTGGGTGGTGGATTATAAAAGTGACGACGAGTTTCTTGGTGCTGTTTTTAGAACGGCGTCGTATGTCAGTGCCACCTGTTCTGTGCCTGGCACGTCAAGGACAGTCCGCACAATAAGAGCAATGTCAGACGAATAATTTCAAATACAGCCACCGGGAACAGCTAGCCTCACCATGAGCTACACCAGAATTACAGCAGAGAGGGGGAAAGAGAGACCCAGGCACTGTGCAGCTCCACCAGGGCATTATCTCACTCAGATCCAGATGTGACCTTTTCACAGGTTACCGCAAATAGTTGCCGTTCTTTTTCTCTTTTAAAAGGGAAAAGCAGTGACAAATTTCCCATTATCCATAAAGAAAAAAAAGGATATTATTTTTATCCAAGTGTGCTTGTCACTCTTTCCTGTCAGCGGTTTACGAGGTGCTGTTTGCAGTGCAAAAACTGAAGTAGTTCCCGTGTAGCCACAGCAACAATCTGGCATCCCACACACTGTGGCTGTGCTTGAATGCCCCGGCAGGTGGATAAGTTTTGTGCGTGGTTGTGTGTGTGTGTGGGGGGGGGGGTTATTTTGCCTTCTTCAGAGTCCCCTTCCCACTTCCTGCAGCTGATTCCTGGCCCTCCCTCCCTCCCTCTCTCTCCCCGCCACACGCCCCACATCCTTCCGCCCGCCGGGCGGCGGGGGAAGAGCGGAGGCGGAGTCGCTCTCTGGGGCGGCTGGCTGTCAGACCTGGGATCCGCCACCTGCTCGGGGGCCTAACGCACTCTCACTCCCTGTCAGCCAGTCTTCCGGGAGGCTCCCCCGCACACCGGGGGGAAAATGACGCACAGGGGCGCGTATGAACCCTTTCACAGTGCGCTAGGGAAGAGTGGCAAAACCGCTGTCGTCTAGGCGCTAGTCTTGTCGCGTGGTCTGTTGTTGTTGTAATGAGTAAGATGAGTGGACATGAGGAGTGTAAATAAAGGGAAGTAAAGCAGAGCAGATGATCGTGTCACTTCTTCAGCTGATACGGCAACTCGTGGCTAAACCCTGTGGTGAGAGGGAAGGTCCTGTGCAGAGTGCTTTGTGATTAATCCGGCTTGTCAGTGTGATTCATTCTCATTGCATGCGACATGAGTAACGCATAAAAATGCTTCCACCTCACCTCTGTTCACAGTAAATGAATGTGAGTCTTTCCTACTCTGCTGCAAGTGCAGATACCATGAACATGGTGTAGAATTGCTGGTAATTAAATGCCAGCAGAATGCCAGCACTGGTGGCTCCTAAAACTTGCATCAAAACAATGGCAGCAAATTGCTGGACCCTGGTGTTATGTGAATGAGGTTTTGCATTATAAAAACAAAAAGGAGCACTTATAGGCCACCCTACCAGTGGACACCACCAGAGACTGGCCTGTCGATAGATCAGCTAGATCTGGTACAGCAGTGTAGGGTAGTGGTAGAGGAGCAGGACTTGTAACCCTTGGGCAAGGTGTTTAACCCACAACTGCCTCAGTAAATATCCAGCTGTACAAATGGGTAATAAGTGAATCTGTAGTCTATGTAAGTCGCTCTGGATAAGAGTGTCTGCTAAATGACAATAATGTAGTGTAGATCCACTCCATGCCTGGCCTGGCCACTCCATTTGGAAACATGAGGAAATGCCTATAGATGGGTGATGCTCTGAATGACTCTCCTTCTCTCTGTGGCTCTGAAACTGGACTCTTACAATCGATTTCTCTATGAACTTACATGCCCCCATGGTTTCAGCAATCAACAAATAATATGGCGGTAATAATTTGGCCCCAATAAATACATAAATAAGTGGTGATCATATCAGCTACTTGCCGTCATTACCTTATCGCTGATGCCATAAGTGGTAATCATCATTTGTGAGAGGCAAAATCGCCACAGCACTGTCGTGTGGACTTCCACAGAGTGATGGCTGATGATTCAGCATTCAGGTTTACCACAGACAAGCTTGTCAGTAAAAAGTAAATAGCATATGTGACCTTTTTCATCCCACTTCTGTAGTGTGGAGATACCTCTGACAGTTACGACATTACAACATCTGACACTGTACATTCTGTATATTCTCTATGTTTACAGAGGTTTTCGGTTTGATTCGTGAGCATTTCAGTCTGTGATCCCTCGTTACTGTCCAGGTTTTGACAGTTTGGAGCATGGGCACTGTTGCCGGGAGACAGCAAGTGTACGCCACTCAAAGGGAAAGTGAAAGCGTGAAGCCAAACATGAAAAACTGGAAATGATAATCCATCTGTGACACCCTGTGCTTTCGAAATGGGTTCGCGTCAGGCGGTTTGTCAGTTGAGCTTTGTGGCAGCTCTGGAAGAAAAATAAGTACGGATCTCATGTGGGAACATTAAGTACACATACCTTTTATGTGAGGACTACCAGTTGTTTCAACAAAGCATTGTTCATTGTTATGGAAGTTGTCTCATAGGGAAGGGTTTATCCTACAAGCATGCCAATAAGTGACACATTTAAGGTAACAATGAGTGTGGCACATGGGTGGCTAAATACCCAGAAAGGTCCTGTGAGGACACCCTGGGAAGCTCACACACAATCAAATACTGGTGTATATAAAGCAGGAATAGCAGTGGGTAATTATGCTTAATATTTATATAGGACGTTTGTAGTTGTCCTTGAATGATAGCGAATGCTTTAATCTGCTCACTTTGAAAACTTGATTTTAGGGCTTTACGGCTTTTGCTGTTGTTTCTTCCCCTTTTCAGGTCTGCGTCGACAACGTGTTGAAAACGATGAAGGAGAACGCGAACAAGGCAAGCAGCATTTTGCTCACTGCCATACCCCAGATCTGCCAGATGGACTGGAGTCAGACGATAAAGAGCCTGAAAGTAAGTGGCACAGCCAGGGAATCTGTCACTATCGCTCGCCGCCAGTATTTGGTCAGCTGGGTGGTGCTCTGCGCATGAATAGAGAAGGTCTTTCCCACAACGTAGTCACAGCACGCTGAGAGCCGCTGCTATTATTATTGCCATTAAGTCACTCTGCAAACACAGTCTTCCAGGGCAGCTAACAATGTGTGACACTTTAATTACAATAACGCATACATTACCCAATGGAGGATTTGATGGAACATGGCTTCTTAATAAAATTTCAGGAATCGAATATTAGATTCGATAATGTGGAATTAAAAGAATTTGGGAAGTAGTAAATGCTAAGGAAAGTGAAATATGTTTTAATAAAAAATGTTAAATAAATTGGAGACTTTGGGTGACATGAATAGTAGGAAAATGATCCGAAGAGGGAAATGCAGATGGATGGTGTATAAATCTGTTTTGGGAGAGAAAAGGTAAGAAGAGCCTGCAAGCAAACCACAAGGCTTTCAAGCTAAATGACTTATGAGCTTTCCTCAACAGTATGTCTAGCAAAAGTGCTTGAGAAATATGCCAGTTATTAGCTGAATGAATGGATACTAAAAAATGTGTATGCAAATCTTGTTTAGAGCATTCAGTTGCCCTAAATCAGATGCCCTAAATCACGCATGAGAAATAGCAGTAGCTTCCACTGTATTTGGCATGGCCAGAGACCTGGAGTTGGGACAGTTTTCTGGACACACCTAGATAATGATGAATGTGCCAAATATGAGAGGAGTTGGTGAATGCTCTCAAAAACTATTCGTTATGTGTGAAAAAAGCATTTGGTGGCGATAGTGGTCGTAGCGTATTACCAAGGGCGGTGAATCATTAAGCAACAACTACGCCATCGTTAAGCCTGATTAAGCAAAGCTGCGAAAAGTTACGGGAAAATCGTGTTTTTTTCCGACCGTATCAGGCGTGGCTGGGTGTGGCTGGGGACCAAGCGCCACAACAAACAGTGTGCTCGGGTCCAGGCCACGGCTGGTAAACGTGCCAGGCGTGAGATGAATGAGAGGCTGCTGATGTCATCGATGTGCAGTGAAGGCCATATCGGGAGCGGTCTTGGACCTCGGGCACTGGAGCGGTTTTCTGAGGTGGAGGTGCCCAGTACAGCAGCTGCGTTGCAGATGTGGAGATCTCCCCTGCAAACGGAGAACTGGGGCAGAGGCACGGCACTTAGCTAAGTGCTAAGCAGGAGGTGCGCAGCCTCGCACAGTCAGGAAACGTCGTTCGCTGAAGTATTTATGTAACTACTTCATATAAAACACGGATTTAAACACCTTTCAAACAAATGTCAGGCTACACTCATATGCTAATGATTACATATGATTATGTTATTTCACTGCTTCCGTCTGTAAAGTCAGAAGTGTGCTGTAGGACTGGTAGAGGAGTAGTGCTGTTATTGTTTTGCCTGAGTGAGTGAATTGACCTCTGACACTGCTGGGGAGGGTCAAGGGTCAGGTATACCTGCTTAAATTCAAGAAAAATGCAAATCAGTATTTTGGATGGCCTGAGTCTGACCCGATACTGTTTGTCTGCACCTGCCTGAATGTGGTCAGTAAAAATAATAAGGCGTTTGTCATTTGACCCCACACTGTTACAATGGACGTGAATGAGCAACGCCAGACTCCGCTGGGGGCGGTTTCGTAGAGCAAGACAAAAACGCCACCCAAGTACTCGCAATGCCCTCTGAGGTGTTTACAATGCTGATACAAGGCAACCACATAGGTTGGGCAGCAGAAGCGGACAACTGCTCTGTAGCACGCAC